TCCACGCCCTTTCCCAACGGCTGTGTATGGTTTATCGGTGGATAGCCGGGTTGTATCCAGGCCAGCTCATCAATAGAAAAGCCATAGTCGGCTGCCCAGCGATCCAGCTCGGGGTATTTCATATCTTTTACGTATGCCAGGTTGGTATTCGCAGCAATCATACGTGATACCGCCTCATGACCCGAAGCTTTTACCAGGTAACCCACGGCGCAGAAATTATCATGCTTATCAATAAATATAGGCGTCCGGTAACTATAATCTTCATTTTGGGGGAATTGACCAGCCTGCCAGTAACGGTTCAGATCATCAAGCGTATGCTGCCTGTTTTGTGCTTGCTTTGCCGTTAAATGGGCTGTGCTCCGGCTTCTTAATGTTTGTTCTACCCGCGACAGGTGCAAGCGGATCCAGGCCGTTTCATCCATCGGCGCAGTAAGCTCGATCTGGTTGCGGTCGACATCCGTTTGTTCACGCCAGCATTTGTTGACCTCACAAAGTTTTTCATAAGACGACTTACTGGCGAATCCGGACAGGCTTAACAGGCTGCACAGAATCGTAAAAAGTTTTTTCATAAATATGGATTTTGATTGGTGAAATAAAACCGGCTTTAATAAAAGACAATGATCAACAGCGATTCGTTGCAGCACCCTGTACTTTTTTTCGATGCGCCTGTAATGCCCGGTTTATCAGGGTGTATATTTAAAGGAAATAGAAATCCCTGCCTGCTGTATATACTGTTGAAACTGGTAGCTCCCGGCAGGCCCGGGCGCAAAGTTGCTGACCGGCGGCACGTTGTACACGGATGATGGGAATGCCCTGTAATACGGTGCCAGCTCAATGCCTGCATGCTGCGTAAGATCATACCGGAAAGAGATACCCGCACCGTAGCTGAACAGCCAGCCTTTTAAACGTTCGTTGCTCAGGTCCTGGTAGCGCCGCTCGCGGTAATCATAATAAGAGCCGGCTGATTTCACTAAACGGTTAATGGCTATATCGGCCTGCAGGTGCAGGCTCCATGCTTTATGCCGGACCAATCTCCAGCTTAATCCCAGCGGCACTTCCAGGTAAGTATACTTATTACGGATAACGCCTGTGGAATCATTATTAAGCGCAATGAGTTTAGATCTTAACCCCATGTTGCCCGGGCTGCTGATTGCCGGCGAATCTATATGTGGCACCTGTTGCAGACTACGCATCTGCTCACCCAGGGCGCGTATGCCCAAGCCCGAATAGACTTGCAGGTAGGGCAAAACCTGGTACGAAACACGGACACTATAGTTGACACGGAACAAGTTGTTGCTGGTAGCATTCCGGTATTTTTCAATGAATTGGGAATCGCCGGTTTCGCGTGCTTGGCTGAAGTTTATTGAAGGCGCCAATGCCAGTGCAAAACTCCATTTCTGCGCCTTGTGGTTAGAAAGAATTATGGTATCATTGGCTGGAATAGCCAGGTTTTCCGGGATCGGCACGGCCTCGGTATGCACCGTTTGTTTGCTGGCCGCTGTTACTTCATAAGGCAGCATCGGGGCAGCAGGCAGCTGCTGTACAAGCCTTGTTCCCGGTGTTGCAGGCATAGCTTTTCCCTGCTGGATATTTATTGTAGCAGTGCTATTCATACGCGAACGCGCCACAGGCAACTCCTCCTGCAGTTCTACCGGGATCAGCTCGTTTAATTTCTGCGGTTTTTTTGGCTGATGATTTATAACAACCGGTGATTGACTTGCCCGGTTAAATGGTTGGCGCTTGTAATTGGCTGCAATGTTCAGCGTGACCACCTCCGGATCTTCTTCTTTCAGGATATTGCCCGGCACCACATTCCGTATAAAAGGGGTTCTGAGATTGTGCTTGAATAAGGTAATGCCCGGCGATAAAAGTGTCACAGCATTGGGCTTCAGTACTGTAACGGCATCAGCTATTTGTTCTTTAGATAGCTCAGCGGCTAGCGGTTGCGGGGATATCTGCTCACCGTTTACAACAATGGCTGATCGGCTCACAGCAACAGGCTGTTGCAGCTTTTTGTTCCATACCGGGCTTAGTATTTCCACCTCTGGTTTTTCTTCCTTTATAATAAGTCCGGGTACCATATTACTTGCTGCCGGTTCTTTAAGATAGCCTGTAAAAGAGCGGATAGCCGGCTTTAAAGCACGTACCTGCTTAGATTTAATGGCCACAATAGCATCGGATACAAGCAGAGTAAAAAATGGCTGATGCGGTGTCTGAAGCAAGCGTCCTATTTCCACGTGAGGTGGTGATTTTTAAAGGTGAAGTTTCCGGCAAACGGCTTGTGCGCCTATGGCTAGCCAACGCTTCTGGCTGGTCGTTCTCTAATGGCTTCTTGCGCTGCATAGCCACAGTGGTTTCTATAAAAGATTCAGGTTTTATTACCGGCGTTTGATGATGTATTTCCTCCCTTCCTAAAGATTGTTGTTTTGCAAAAAGATGATAGATAACAATGCTGCCCGATAAGAAAATCCCCAGGAAGATAAATAGCAACCACCTGCGTCTGCGTTCACGGCGCACGATATCAGCCTCCACATTCAGCCATACCGAAGGTGAAGGAGGCAGCACGAAATCCTGTGCCTGTTTTTTCAGCAGTTCATTCAAGTCATCCATGTTGCCCTTTCTTTTTATTGTCAGGATAATCGGCACCCAGTTTCTTCATCAACAACTCACGGGCACGTGCATATTGCGACCGGGAGCTGGTGGCTTTAATGCCCAGCAATTGGCCTATCTCTTCATGTGAATAACCTTCCACCGCATAGAGATTAAATACGGTACGGTAACCATCCGGCAATGTTCTTACGAGTGATATCAGGTCCTGCTCATTGCCTGTTTGCGGCGCTACTACCTGTTCTGTAAAGCTTTCGGGCGGCAGGTCTTCCAGCGGTTCCGTCACAGGGTATCTGGCCTTAATACCATTGAGTGACGTATTGATCACAATCCTCCGTATCCATCCTTCCAGTGATCCTTCATTTCTGAACTGCCCCAACTTACGGAACACGGTTATAAAGGCCTCCTGCAAAAAATCTTCGGCTTCCTCACGGGTATGGGCATAACGATAACAGACGCCCAACATCTTTGGAGCATACCGCTCATATAGCTGTTGTTGCGACTCACGATTACCTTTCAGGCAGGCCTTTACCAGTAACTGTT